CTTAGATGGATTGTTGCACCACGGGACTGAATGAGCATGGTAAATTATAACAAAGTAACGCAAAAAAAACAGCTGCAAACATTGCGTCGTGTTTGTACATCTGCATCCAGAGTGACCCTTCACAGTGTGAACAGGGCCCACTTTTAGCAGCTTGGCAAAGGTGGGCAGCAAAACAGCAGCCGCCGTCCATTACTCAAAATGAACCGGAGCCCCTGCTCCTTGGCTGTGCCAGGATCTAAAGCACATCAACCCGAACATGCTTGGCAGTGGAAGGGATGCTCACGAAGAGGTGTTATCACTTTGTAAAGTCCACTGATCGGATCAACAGTGACAAGCTCAATTACACAGCACCCTCCCGTCATAAATATAGAGGAGGGGCAGTTGCATTAATTACGGAGATTGAGCCACGGTGTCGGCAAGAAATGATGATGGGGGATTTTTCTTGGAATGTGCGCAGTGCAATCCCTTGAACGAGGCACCATTGATTTGTCATCTGCAGGGCTGCTCTGGGCAATTGCATTGGGAGGCGTGGTATTAATCATAACTGATGATCATTGCGATGGTGGTGGAGCGAGTTCTAAACTTGCAGTATTTCTTAAAATAACCTTGCCGAGTAAAAAACAACAACAACAACGTGTGAACACTAATTACGAACATTGGGTAGTGCTGTTTGCTGCTGGCCACTTGACATATTGGGCCTTGGGGTCCAGTGCTCGGCAACTGTGTACAAATAAATAAATAATGCATCCTCCCCACTCCTGAAATTAATACGCGATGTGGAGCTCTCGGTGACGTGGAGCGGCAGCGCAAGGGGTTAGGCGCTGTGATATGGATCTGTCGGCCTGAGTTCGATTCCCGGCCATGGCTAACGTCAGTAGCGGAGTAATAACTCTGACACGAGTTAAATTTCAGGCCATGACTAAAACGACATCTGAACTGATCTTTGCCCCCCCCCCCCCCGCCATTCACCAACCCGCACTAGATCAGCCTGGTAAAATACGGTCAAACGGTACCTATCACCAATGCCTATCACCGGCCTCCATCTAACAGTGGATTATCAAAGGGCTGTATGTTGGTATGTTTATTCATTTAAGACCTATTATTCCTTCATAACAGATCAAATTAAGGGGTGGGGATTGTATGAACATTTTTATTACAAAACATTCAAAGCACTTTCCCAAACTAATAAGCATTATACAAGCTGGGTAATAGCCAATGATTTTGAGTGGAAATTGCGTGAAGCTACACAAGTGCAGACAGGGAAATTGTAGAGGTTAATGAAATGTTACTTGAAAAAAAACATGAACCGTTTTACTATGGTACAAGAGAAAATATATTTTGTATTCATTTTTAACTCTTTGCGGAGGTAATCGACAAATGCACTTGCAGTGTTATTCTGTATTGTACGAGTTGAATGCAATTTGAACTTGCGCACTCAATCTTCAATCACATTGTTTTCGTTCGTGCTCAATAAAGTAGCGCATGAGCCAAACATTTTTTATGGCAGGGTGAACTCGAAAGCCAGCGTTGTTAAGACAGCTGAGCGAGTCGAGAAATGCAATGCTGGTTCAATGTGGAAAGGTGTCTTTGATGAGCTGAAACTGTGTTTTTACTGTCATGGGTTGGCATTTATTGACGATTTGATGCTGTTATCGCATAGGGTACAGAGTCGTCAGGTCACTGCTTCAGGGTTAAATTTTTACTGGGTTGCTCATGTAACCTGATGATTGATTCTCCTGGGGGAGGAGAGGAGTGAGAGCAATTTAGGCATGAACTTAAAATCGAGGCAAGTTTCTCAGTACTCAAGGAAGTGTGGAGCAGTGCTTGTTTTTTATTTGTGTCTCTCAGCTAGCGGTGGAAAAATATGACAGGGGCCAGTCAATACGAAGAACAAAAAAGTGATGTTCCAACGTATTTTGTTCTGACTGAAGTATAAAATTATTTTAAAATGTTTTTCCTACACTTGAATGTGAACGGTTGCACATGCTGCATACAAATATACTCGCATAATGTAATTATTACACCGGCGCATTCATGGCTTATTGGTGTGAAAAATTGGGAATCGAGTTCAAATCCTTTGAACCTTGGATTCACAAGCAAAAGCAATTTACTACAAAATCGTTGATGTATAATAATTTTTTACACGATTTGAACGTTTTCTAAAGTTATGCAAATTCATTCTTTCATGATTGTGTCAGTTCTAAATTTCGCCGAGGTTAAATGTTGAGTTTTTTTCTCTCTAATTTTATCATACGGCTTGCAATGCTGAATGTTCATTTTAGAAAAATAAATATTTCCGTTGGAGAGGCGGTGAGGGGATTAACTTTTAAGAGCAGGAATTACGCCGTGGCATTCATCAGACTTCGTGAGAATCGTGACTAATGGAACACACAGTCCTTAGCATGACATCAAATCCATCTCTCGGAGTTAATCCCCCCCCAAAGCGACCACCACCGTTGTTTTTTTTCCTTCGTACATAACATGAAAACAAGTGTGCAGTGACTGACCACTTTTTTTTTACATCTGAAACAATTATTTGGAGATACTGTGTTGGCAGTGGGGGTGCATGAGCACAATTTGAAAAAAAAAAACGCAACTCGATTTTGTCAGCAACACTTTCGCTTTAAAAAAATATATATAAATATAATGGCACGCAGAAGGGGTAGAGATTTAAAAAGGCAAGAGCAAAACCAGAATCCTGCAAGTGCACATGGAAAGAAAATATTCAGAATAATAAAAAATATCATTACCCAAACCGTTGGATTACATAATTTACCGAGTATATATGGAAACATTCACATATTATCGGTAGTTAGGGAATGTCTAGACTTTATATAAAAACGCGTAAATGTGCAGATGTGTAACGGCACAAGAACTGAGGTAACTACATTTTTCCGAAGACAAATTCAGTTTCAAGCGTATTTGTTTAACCAGGTTAGAACTCGCGTTTCTTGGGCCACCAAAATGACAAAAGCAAAACTAAAAATACAGCAATGTGGTAGGTGATGGTAGTTATGAAGTCGGTTTTTTTTTTGTGGTGGTTTTATTGATAATGTGGGTGGCGGTTAGGGCGCTGCGCTACCACCCGAGTTTGAATTCCCGCTCACAGCCAACACCAGTGAAGAATATTTGAACTGGTCCAGGGCCTCCCGAGGTCGACTCAGCCTCAAGTGTGCGGCGTGTAAACATCGCCACAAATGCGGACGGGCGTGGTGCTGGCCACCCACCTCCTCGTGTGCCGTGCTGGCCTTCATCGGTACTCGTTAATAGCACTTGCCCCAACAGTCTGTTATGTCTTTGTATTGTTGGTTGTCGTGGTGTTGGTTGCAGTGGTGGTAATGGTATTAGTTGTTGTGATGATGATGATGTTAGTTATTTACTGTGCTGGTAGACATCGGCACAATGCAGTTATGGATTATTTAAAGCTGTCATTCTGAAGTCCCTAACTGTGCTAAGATGACAAGTATCACCTGCATATGTTATCTTAAAGTGTCACTATCACCCAGTCCTCTTATCCCCTTTAAATTGTCAGTGTAAGCTAGCTTCGAATCTAGTTTGAACTGAAGTTAACTTTCGTCCTGCTTGCAATGGTGGTTGAACAGTAAAGTGTTCGCTGTCATGACATTTACATCTTGTCTTTTTGGCTTAAACATAACAGAACTTGATTAGGTGCTTTCGTGACTGCAGGAATTACTCTTTGTTTTTTTCGGTAAAGTCACGTAGAAATAATAAAAATAAAATTATATAATAGCATACGACGTTTCGATTGCAACACAAGCAATCATCATCAGCGCTTCTGTACCTGATGATGATTGCTTGTGTTGCAATCGAAACGTCGTATGCTATTATATAATTTTATTTTTATTATTTCTACGTGACTTTACCGAAAAAAAACAAAGAGTTAAACATAACAGCACAAGTTGAATAACAACATCTAGAATGGACAACCCTTTGTCAATCCACTGCTGGGTGAAGCCCCCCTCACATACTGTGTCAGCCTTTGGTTGTTTAGTCATACGTCACCACGCTGGTCGGTACAAGTTGGTGACCGGTTCACATATTACTCACCGCTGATGTTAGCCTTGGCTGGGAATTTAAATCGCTGGGGTTCGTAGCACAGTGTGCAAACCACTGCACCACCGCTCTAAAATCATCAGGCCAAATGTAACGTGGTGCTTGTAACTGTGAACAATTTGTAAAAATAAATAGTTGCTTAATATTTAGAATTTTTAAAAAATACGATACTGCCTTGGCAGTGGTGCACAAGTAACAAAAATTCAACACGTTTGTCAATCACACTAAGCTAACATTCCTGCGGAGGGAGCTTGTAGGAACGTTGGGTTGCTCGGTCAATGGCCAGGGTCAACGGCGGCACCACGTGGTGTATTCAGCAAATATGCCCGACTGTGAGGGCGGGCACAAGCCGGCGTGAGTAGGTTAAACGTTGAGTTTTATAAGGGGGGCACCACGGGGTGACCAGCCCCTCCCCACCCAGCCCCACCCCTCCCACCCCCCACCCAGCCTCACCCTCCCCACCCTCCCCACCCAGCCCTTCCCCACCCTCCCCTCCCCACCCAGCCCCTCCCTCTCCACCCAGCCCCTCCCCACCCTCCCCTCTCCACCCAGCCCCACCCCTCCCATTTTTGGATGCAGGACGGACGGACACAATAATCCGCTGTGGGCTGGTGTAACCAGGAAGTTCCTACCAGTTAAAGGACACACATATACCAAATTCTCCAGATTATAATATACCTCGTCCTGCATTTTAAAGAAAAACTTAAGGCTGCATCTTATAATCCAGTAGATGCATGTATGTGTGTGACAATAGTGATAGCATTTTATTCGGGAACCTCTTATCATCCCCGATTGTGGTGCTAAGGCAACAACTTCCGGCAACGGGCCCTTCTCCGTAGCAAAGAGAATGTTTAGAGCGGACCATTTACCGTGACGTCGTTCAATAATTCCCTGCTTTGCCCATCTCTGTTCTCCGTGGCGTGCAGCAACAAAGGGATCCAGCATCTGTACAACATCAAGCGCAAGAACGTGGTGCCGCTGTACGACCTGCTTCTCGAGATGCTGGATGCGAATGTGCTGAGCGAGCACAGCGCGTGTTCCAAGATATCCCAGGCAACTGGCACCCAGGACACTGGCAGCGGCGGCGGTGGTGGAGGTGGCAGCCAGTGCAAGGCCATGGAGAACTCGCGCAACTCAGTCAAGTCCCCCGCTTTGCAGTCGAATGACGAGCCGCCATCGGCAAAGATCAGGATGACGATGGGCAGCGAGCAACCCTTTGACGCTCTGGGTTGACTGAGTGAGGCGTCGATCCGCATGTGTGATGTACACGCCGTGTGAAAACACTACGCCCAGGCCATTTTGTATCCAAATATCAACTGTCACTGTGGGTGTTTTTTTTCTTTGTTTGTTCGCTCCGAATAGTCGCCGAGATATTACAGGATTCGATTTTCCTAACTTATGAGCTTCAGACGAAAGAGACGGGTCAAATCAAGGTACGCCCAGCTGGTGGAAAAATCAGACATGCGGTAAATGTTTGCGAGTGGTCTGAAAGGCTCGTGAAGACTCGTCGTGGTTGCATTAGAAAACTTGGGCATTTGTGAGGTCTGTTTAATTGGTGTATTCTTTGTTCCACATCGATTGTTGTAAACATACGTGATGGTGCATAACATTTATATATTTTGAGAGTACCCTGACCACCGCGTAGCGCCACACCTTGTTGATTAATTGCACTCTGGTTTCTTTCGACTAATTGTGTAGCTCAGGGGTGCTCAACCAGATGACGTGGCATTCTGTATGGAGTGTTTTGGACTTGGAAATCCACACACGCGCGCGCACGTGTGTCGGAGCCTTGACGATCTGGACCTCAGATTCCCGGATGCTTTAAAAAAAATCCCGATGTCTGTACCGTCAATCGCATTGTCATGTATATGAATAGGTGGCCACGGAACTTGACAAAACATTTAATTGTGCAACTGGTTCCTTAAAAAAAAAGTGCCAGCATGTATTTGCTGAGTCGTCATCCGATTGGCTAAATAATTTCGGCCTGAATAACTTAATTTTTGTTCTTCGTTGGCCACACGAAGTTAGCATCATTATCGAAGGTATACCAGGTATACCGTGATTGACTAAGTTTTAGCCAATTCCACTTATATGTATTAAAAAAATGTTTGCAAATGTACTCGCATCCATTATGTGCACCCATATTGGGTACATGAAAAACCTGGAAATATTTGGACCATTTATATAACAAGCTCTGCACTTGCATATCCTGGCATTGTTCAAATCCAGATTACTATACATCTCATTTATTGCTACATTGGGATTTTTTGAGGTTGTGTTTTTTTAATTGCGTGTGTGTACATATACACAGGCACACAAATGTATATTTGTATTGCTGTCTCAAGATTAGGAGCTAGTATATTTAAAATATCTATATTGACAGTAACCATCAGAGGTTGTTCTTTCTAAAAAAAAATAATAATTTTGTAATAAGGCTAATTAAAACAAAAAATCACTAAATTGGGCAGTATGTCACTGCTCAAGCCTCACAATGTGGATATTTCTGAACATTCTCATGCAGTGCACTCTTCGTCTGCTGCTTACACGCTGGATATATTGCAATAGCGGCACTAGCAATGCAAGTCAATGCATGCAGGGAGAAACTGCAACCGGTTTTGGGTGTGGTTGCCAACTTGTTGTTCTTTCCCCCCCCCCCCCCCCCCCCGAAATTTTCCGCGGTCTGTTTCTGATGCCGAGCAAAACGCGCGTCGATAAATTGACACCTCCGATGTTGTAAAACGCGACTCTGTGTTTGGTCTCGATGCCAACTAATGATAGAGAGTGAGTGAGTGCGTGCGTGCGTGCGGGTTGAAAAGCGCACGAGCATGGGATGGTCTTTTTGTTCCAATCGGGAAAAAGGGGGAGACGGCACCACTCTTGAAGAAGTAAAACAATCAAGCACAATCGCCGCACGAGTCCTCGCATAAATGGAACGCTGCGCGCGCGCGGTGCCGTTGCACGGTGGTGCAAGTGCTGGCGTGCACGGACGGACGGGCAACGCACAGGGGAAGTGTTTCTCCCAGTTGGAAACTGCTGCTAGCTTTGTTGCCGAAACAACGTTTTTTTTGCTGCTGCTGTAAAGCTTAATCAAAGTACCGTCAGCTTGGACATGTCGCTTTTTATTTTAAAATGCTGTTCGTAGCACAATTTGCCAAAGCAATGGATAGTGTTGCAAATTGAAGATGGTTGCTGCTAAGGTGCATTATGACGTACGTTGCTCGTGTCACCCCCCCCCCTTCCCCCCACGGCAATTATTGCAACATTCCATGGCAGTGAAGGCACATATCGGTAATGTATTGGTGTGACCTTATGGTTCCAATTCACTTCACTGTGTAAGGGTAGCGTACTTTTACAACGTAAACGCAAAATGGATATTTGTTGATGTCGTTGTAGCCGTAGTCATTATTGTTGTTCTTAAACTGTCGGTTACAATCAAAAAAAATTGTGTACGTGTATTAAAAAGACAATGGAGCAGTGGTTGGCTTGACTTGATGGTAAAAGTGAGCATTGTTTCTAAAAGGACTGTTTAATCAGCCTGTGACACTCCGAATGGTGTTTATCTGATTAGCCAAGGCATTTGTAGCGTAGCTCTAGGCCTGGCTGATTTAACAAAGCAATTTCTTGCTCGGGCATTCTCGACTGCTGTGCAGTGACGAACGCCGGTTCATACACCTGCTACCATAATTGTCGTGAACTTTTCCTAGTGTATACTTTTAGTGTTTCGTTTTTTTAGGGGGAAATATTGCTCGTTATATATGAAAATAATTACAATTATGGGCGCAGTTGTACGTTCCGGCGTTAAAGTGGCGCTGCATGCATCGGAGCATTAAGAGGGCCAGTCTGAACTGACTGGCACTTAGGGTAAAAAAAAGTTGCACTGTGTTTGGGAGCTGCACTATAATATTTAGAGGATCGCCTCTGTAAAAGCCTGCAGAGTGAGCCGAAGTGGAATGCCTTTGACACGATGGTTTTGAAACGTAGCCAACTGAATACCGCGTGCATAATGATGTATATGCAATGTTCACACAATTTAGGAAATAATGATCATTCTACAGCAAGACAACTTTTTGTGCACCTTAGTGGAGCCTGGTGGCAGATCAAAAATATCGTATAGTGCAGATTCGTGCGTGTAAACGCATCGCCGGCTCAGTAGTTCTGTAGCAAAACGTTCAGTCACCTGTCGCATGTGCTTGGTTTAAAAAAAAAAGCCTTCTTTGGCACGTGTAAGAAAGGGGCTTTGTGAATGCCGACTGTGCCAGTAGTAGGCCGTATTTTCTGGATTACATTATGGGTGGCCACACATTTGTAAGCAAACAAAGCAATGACGAACCAAGGAGGAAACAAGCCAGTAAAACAACCGTCAAGGATACATTAAATGGGGGTTATTTTGTACTTGTAACAACTCGTAACTTTGTGTACCTGCTTAACACTTTCTGTAGACCGTTGGCTGTATTTTTAAGCGAATGACCACACTTGAGCCTCGTCAACAGGGCTCCTGGTGGTAGAGAGTGATAGGTGTTGGTACACAAAGCAAAGGAGTTAGATGGGGGAGAAGAGGGCATTTTTGTGGAGAAAACCAGGGGTCAGGGAGAAGGCATGCGGTAGATTGTACAAAGAGGGCTCGTATGCTGTCATGAATGCTGCCTTGTGACTTTTAGTAGTCATTTTGTAAGCAGAATACTATGGGTACATTACTAATATAATGTATTTTTTAGCCAATTAAATGTTCTGTGAGCCATGTGCCATATGATGGTAGTGTTCTTGTCTGTGTCGCTGTGGCTTCTAAGCAGCTTTTTTTTTAACTTGCACTATTTTATACTTGCTGCAGTGGTGTGATTTTTATTTTAATGTTATTACATTCATTTTGTGTTTTTTTTCTTATGGTTTGCACTGCGGATCAGGCCAAAAAAGAGACCATTAAGTTAGTCTCGTTTTTTATTTTGAACAACAGCGAACCTACTTAAAATATAGTTTCATATTACGGCACTAGTTTTGTAATGACGTTGAAATTTGTTGAGATGCAACAATTATTAGTTATTCACATTTCACGATTAACTTTTTTTTAAATGAAAACCAGAATTTAATGCAAGAATAAAATAATCCCGTTTTAATTTTCACAAAATTTTGAGCAGATGGAGGGAGTGGCTTAGTCCACTTACCTGCAACTCAAATAATGTGCGTTCTCTCCCTGATATTGTGTCAAGTGAACCTTAACCAGGAAGAGAAGGCTCTCCGCTTTTCTAAGGATCGAATTATAATTTTTTGTTAACATATATATCATCTTCTTTGGGTCTTTCGGAAAAGTCACGTAGATAGGTTTCAAAACTACGACGCTTCGATCGCAACACAATCGTTCGTCATCAGGATGAGGGGGTTCGCTTCTAAAAGCAAACTGTTTATAAAAGATTTGAAGCTTTCGTGCCTGCAGGAATCCATACTCTTCGGTTCTTTCGGTGAAGTCACGTGGGTATAAAATAAAATAAATCACGACGTTTCGGGCGCAACACAAGCATCCGTCATCAGGTGAGAAAGCAAACGTCGTGTTTATTTTATACCTTCGTGACTTTACCGAAAGAACCAAAGAGTATGTTTATAAAAGTTTGAAATGGGCGTAGCCCAAATGTCAGCAGCCAATGTTAATGTGAGTGGTGGGCAGCGACCGCGACGGTGGTGGGTTTTCCACCAATCAAAGGGCTGCCAAATAGAAATTAGCATGTCAATGTAAGAAAGTCGGCTGTTTTATTGTACATTAACAGGTTCAACTTCTCACGTTAACACAACCACCTCGCTTGCCGAGCTCGAGTTTGCTGCTCTGCGATCTGCCATTAACACGCTAATCTCTCACGTTAACACGCTAATCTCTCACTTTAACACGCTAATCTCTCACGTTAACACGCTAATCTCTCACGTTAACACGCTAATCTCTCACATTAACACGCCAATCTGTCACGTTAACACGCTAATCTCTCACGTTAACACGCTAATCTCTCACGTTAACACGCTAATCTCTCACTTTAACACGCCAATCTCTCACATTAACACGCCAATCTCTCACTTTAACACGCCAATCTCTCACATTAACACGCCAATCTCTCACATTAACACGCTAATCTCTCACATTAACACGCTAATCTCTCACTTTAACACGCTAATCTCTCACATTAACACGCTAATCTCTCACATTAACATAGCCACCCCTGGCCGCTGGCCGTGGAGGCCGCTCAACGTTCTTACATTGACATGCTAATTTTTACTTGGCAGCCTTTTGATTGGTGGAAAACCCACCACCGTCGCGGTCGCTGCCCACCACTCACATTAACATTGGCTGTTGACATTTGGGCTACGCCCATTTCAAACTTTTATACACAGTTTGCCTTTAGAAGTTAACTCCCCTCTTCCTGATGACGAACGCTTGTGTTGAGATCAAAACGTCGTAGTTTTTTGTTATTTTCTTTTAACCTATCTACGTGACTTTACCGAAAGAATATGAATTCCTGCAGTTACGAAAGCTTTAAGTCAAGATATACATCATAAATGCTTGCAGGTAATGGAAGCTGTTTGGTGCATGCATGCGTGTGTGCAAAAGCCCACTTCGCCTTCTGTTCTCCAGATGTCCTCATATACTGTGTTTAACTGTTGCTGAGCTTGATGGTACAGAGTGTATGAAGTTCATAAGTAAAATAAAAGTAAACTAAATGCCACCGTAATAGCTTGCTTCTGCGACTGTTTTCACTTGGTTTTTTTCTTTCTACTTGCAGGGAGGCCCCTTTTGAAATTAAAACATTTTGCCACATACCTTTTTGTTTTTAAAATGTACCAGGTAATATATTATTCCATTTGTATGTAGACCGCAAGCAAAGCCTATTTTCGTACTCCTAAAGCAACATTGTAATTGGGCTTGGGTATGTATTACTTTTGGCGAAATGTTAAAAAGATTATTTCACCTGCGATTTGTCAAAACGCTACGTTAATGTAATCCATTTTAGCCCGCTTTACCAAAAAGCCAGTGTGATCTGTGGCCAGGGTAAGATGTAGAGCTGTCACGTTTGTTAATAATTGCCAACTTTCAACACGCCTCATCTCTCACAGCTTTAATAGAATTTTGATATGTGGCTTAACATCAACTTCAGTCATAAAAATGTTTTAAACATTCTCATATGATAAATATAATGTCTTACAAAAAAAACATTAAGCAGGTTATAAAATAAAATACAGTCATGGCAAACAAAATGTTTGATATCCAAAGAGCGCCAAACTTATCTCCGTGTTTACAGACCGCGTAGATAAGTTCATCTGATTTAATTAACATTCAGATTAGTTTTGATACAGCTTAAAATGTAATTTCCTCGTGCAGTAGCTCGTAGAACGTGTTTTCAAAATCTCTAATGAAGCCAATTTCAATATTTAACATTTACTTGCCGATTTCGGTGCCTTAACGTCCAAAAATACACATTACTTTCTGATGACTTTGCTGTTTAAAGGTTACAATTTGCATCAAGTAATTGCACAAATGAGTCTGCCTGTTTGTACATATGCATTGTAATAATACTTATTCAAATAATATTTGAGATTAAGAAAATTCAGTGGCATATTCTTTTCTGGCAATTAACCGCAGGTTTTTTTTTCAAGCAGCAAAATGCACCTGGCGCATCGTAGAATACATTCTGGTATTGCCCATTGTGTTTCGTATTACTACGACTGCGTGCAGCTTGTGCTTTGGTCTGGAAAATATTGCTTTTGTCCAGAGAAGTGAGGCAAATACATCCGTGTTTGCCTCTCTCTTAACACTTCGCAGTTGTACGTTTTGGCCAAGAGAGCTGCATCCACTTTTCCCACTGCAAGGAGCCAGGAATATCCACCAGTTGCAATTTAACTTTCATCTAAAAACCGTTCGGCACGACGTGACTTTGGTGGGGCCTGCTGTCCATTGGTCGTGAATTACGTTTGGTGGGCCGTCCGTTTTATATTTTTGTTCACTAAGCTTGAAGAGATAGTTCTGTCTGTTGGTGCTCGCCTTAGGTGAGGTTTATCGCACGATGCCCCTCGGTTTACAGAGCTTTACTGCAGAGCGAAATATAACCGAGTCGGGGAAAAAACATCGTGATTTTTATGGCGACGGAGCAAGCGGTGACCCCGGCGAACGGAATGCTGCGATGAGTTGAACCCAACAACGGCGGTAGACGTGTAAAGTCCGTCGGCCAGGTTTTAAATTGGCAGACTTTGATTTTTTCAAATTGTACCAAAATGGGTTATATGTTTACAGCCTGGCATTATATGAATAGTCTTGTTGTGTCCAGAGAGAGTTGTGTAGTTATTTAAAGCAAAGGTATTGTTTTGTGTGTGTGTGTACAAAATCTAATATTAGTCATTCTTCGAGCAAGTTTCTGTTGTTGTTGTTCAGCTTTGTCACAATGCGTTAATATGAGACATTCAAGAAAGCAATTTGGGCAGAAGCTGCAATGAATAAAATTGTAAAAGCATTCATAACAGAATAATCCAAGATGCTTTTCCAACAGCCCAGCTCCATAACGAGTTAGGCATCTAATAAGCATGTACAACCCCCCACTAAATGCATATTAAATCTGTTTTTTCCCACTATGAATGCAGCTGTTGGTTTTGACGACGACGTATAGTTTCAGAATTAAAAATATATTCGCAGGGATCCGTGACTTAATACGACCAGGTGACCCAACCAAATGCAGGTGCAAAGAGATTGGCAACTTTTTTTTGTTCAAAGTGTAAGGCTTTGATTATAATGTTTTTCAAACAAAGGCACAACACATCAAGCGGGCGAGCAACAAACAAATGTGTGTTTCATATTCTTGGTTCTTTCGGTAAAGTCACGTAGAAGGGAAACAATAAAATAATAAAAATATAAAACAAAATTATCACGACGTTTCGACTGCAACACAAGCAATCATCATCAGGTGTGAAAACCACAGCAAGAAGATTTGAAAAAAAGTGGCGTTTTTTTTTGTAACGATAGCACCACGGAGAGCGATTTGGCAGTTTGTTCAGATGGACGAGTCCATCTATATTCGGAAAAGAGGAGGGGGGAGACGAAAATAATGGATGCGGTCTGAAAGCCACCGTAAGCGTGAACAATCAATTAAGACCCGAAATGGTTTATCAAATCCTTCCAATGATTGCTAAGCCAGAATCCATCTTCTCGGTTGAAATTGTCTCTGTGCTTGTATATGTGGATAGCCTCATGAACGAATCTCTCATGGTAGCCAGATGGCTTGCAAAGTCTTGGAGCAGTCAATGTCATGTGAGCCTACTGAATTATAACAGTGATCTGCCACGGCCAAGGTGTTGGTCCTACCGTGTTTTAGGTCTGCTTTGTGTTCACGAATGCGGTCTGAGACATGTCGTTTGGTTTCTCCAATGTAACTACTACCACAGAGGCAACTTAGTTTGTAGACACCAGGGTACTGTATGTCCGGAATCACATCTTTTACAGACGGAACCAGATCACGGATTCTATGTAATGTGTTGAATCGGACCTGGATCTTGTGTTTATTCAAGATTTTGGAGATCTTTTTTGTGATCCCCGCAATGTAGGGTAAAGTGATGGTTTTGAAAGGCTCCTCAAGAGGGTCCTTCTTCATGGTTTGAGTGATAGCTTTGCGGGTTGTGTAGTCAGAGTAACCATTATCCTTAAGAGCTTGGTGTACGTGCTTGAGTTCACTGCCTATGTGTTCCTGGTCGGATATGCATTGGGCTCTATGGTGCAGAGTCTTGATG